TTTGAATTAGACTGTAAATGAATTAGATAATAAAAAATAATTTAATTATTAAAAAATATTAACAAGGTACAAAACATTCGGTCATCAAAACCAAAAACAGAAATGATTAGAATTTAGAAACGCTCTGATTCTCTCATGCATGCCCCCTGGACATGGGGGATCACGAAACTGCTGCCCTCTCTATCTCACCCTTAAATCCTTTCCATCTCCCTTTTCATTGTTTTGTTAGATTTTGCGAGAGAGATTTTTTTTTAAATTAGTTGGGGCCTTTGCTTCCAATTCAATAAAATATGAATGTGCTTAAATTCATCCATTGCAGATTACCTGTTGGTTCTTTGTTTGGGTTTTGATCGGGTACGTTTCCCTTTCTCTTTCTTTTTCGTTTCCCCGTTTTATATCTGCATTGTATTCATACCTGTGAAACACTCTCAAAACAAGAGAATGAGAGTTTCTCAGCTATTCGTTAATGCTTATTTTAAAAAATTGTTTTTTTGGAGTCACCATGCATTGAAAAATTTCCAAATTGATGCATTTTTGTCTATGTTTACATTGCTCATTTACAAGGAGGTTTCTCTTTTTTAACAGTGTTTCCTCTTTTTGATTGATCGGGGTTCTTCAATAATGGTTTGAGAATTTATAATTTGGGTATTTGCAGAGTTTAAAGCTCTGGAGTTTCCAACATCCCTCATCTCAAAGTCATATCTATCAAGAGAATGTAATTTGAGATCTGGGTGTTCTTAGAAGTTCAAGATCAAGAGTATGTACGCGGTGGGGAGACTAGGCAGCTATATCTCTCGCGGTGTATATTCTGTTTCAGCTCCATTTCATCCTTTTGGTGGGGCTGTAGATATAATTGTAGTGGAACAACCCGATGGGAGCTTCAAATCATCGCCTTGGTATGTTCGGTTTGGTAAATTTCAAGGGGTTCTAAAGACAAGCGAAAAGGTGGTTACCATCAATTTTAATGGCCTCGAACCGAATTTCACATGTTTCTTGATCATAAAGGGGAAGACGGTGACGAAGACGAATATGGATCCTTTTCATTTCCTTTTCCTTCTGGATATGAATCAGATGAACCATCCTGTCCTAATAGGAGGCCATTGAAGTCCTTAAGTTTCAACTATGATGGTGGTATGTCAAATTCCGCGGAGCAAATTGATGTGAGCAAGGGTAAGGTTGTTTCTAGGACATCTTCCCAACCATCTTTGTTGTTATATAGTGTTTTAGGACAGAGTTCAGAAGATGAGGATGATTACAGGGAGGATGGTGGCAGTGTAATGAGGTTAGATTCCTTGGAGTGTGCTGAGATTGCTGCTGGCGTGTTGGAGATGAAGTGGCCCACTAATATCGTCTATGATAGTTCAAATGACAATGCTAGTTCTGGAACATCTTCATTTGAACAAAGCAAGTTTCAGTCTTCTGTGAATGATAAAGGGGAAACTGACCTCTGTAGAACCTCTTCATCATGTGAAGGTTTTATGGAAGGAAAATCAGAAACGATAGCCACTATTGCAGGAGCTATTGACGGTAACAGTGTTGGGAACTCTCATCTGCAATGTCAACATAAGCTTGAACCGTGCAAGGACAAGCAGTTTGATGGAGAAGTTTCTGATAATGAAAAGACTGTTGGTTTACCAGTTTCTGAAATTTTCAGTAAGGAGGCTTATTCAGACAGTCTTCAGTCTTTTGTTTCAGAGAGCTCGGTAATAGTATTGAATGGTTCCAGTGAACAAACTCATCAGACACTGAGCCTTCCTGATGTAGGAATGTGAAGTACATGTTGATGCTGAAACATTGGTGAGAACTACTGATCTAGTGCCAGAGGTTAAATCTCATCCAATGAGCAATGTTCCATCATCAGACTTCAGAGGATGATCAATTCCTTTCAGTGACCTTGCAGAATTCGAACAACATGAGACAGATTGTGTAAATAAAGATCTTCCTTCAATATGTACGAAAAATGAAGTAAATGGTTTATGTCATGCGAATAATGAGTCATATTTAAATTCTGACTTTGTTCATGAGAATTCATCAGCTAATATGGAAAACCCCATAGAAAAGTCGGGAATCATCTCTGATCCTACTAATATTTCTAGAAATCACAGAGTAGCTGGTGAAAAGATTGGGTGGCAGGCAGAATCACTTCCTATATGCAGTTTCCTGTTGACAAGCTCGATTCAAACAACAACGGTCCTGTAAGCCATTCTCTAGGCTCAAATTCTGAAACCCTTGGGTGGACACAATCAAGAAAGATGATTCAAATGAGATAAGGTCCAATGCAGATGAGGAACAACAATTAGTACATGAAAGTTCTAGAGAGGAGAGAGACTTCAAGGAGGCTGAAAAATACACTTCACAATTGTGCTGGCGGTAGAGAATTAGTTATCCTTTTCTTCAATAAACAAGAGAACTAAATTATCATGCATTTCATTTGTTGACTGCAGAATGCCCTGAAATGAATTATAATTATTAGTCCCTTATATGAAGCAAAAGGAGAGTAGAAAAATCATTCAACAAATTAGTTGTTTTATGTAATGGATGAACCCATCTACTGATGCGGAAGTGCAACATATTATTTGTTATGATTTTAATTAAACATAGAATAAATATTCTGTCTTTCTGTGAATCTTCTCTTTGGGCGGTTAACTGTGGAAGTGATGCTTTGTGCTTTGTGCCTTATGCATAGATATCTCTTTAATAATACGTATAGTGGCGAAAGGTTTCGCTCAAGTTCCGAGACACGACTTTAATAATACGTTTAGCCTATTTATCAAACCTTCCACGGTAAAGGTTATCTTGTCCTTAGCTGTCATGAATGGGTGGAAATTGCGATAGGTTGACGTGAATAATGCATTCTTCAATGGGGACTTACGCGAGAAGTGTTCATGGTGCAGCCTCCCGGGTTTGAACAGCTTGTTACTGATGGCTCGCGACTTGTTTGCAAACCTAAAAAGCGTTGTAGGGACTTAAGCAAGCACCACAAAGTTGGTATGCGAGGTTATGTACGTTTCTTGGTCAAATTGGGTTTCATGGGACCTCCTTGGTCATTCGTTGCTTAGGGAAATCTTTCACCTATGTTCTCATTTATGTTGATGATATCATAATTACGAGGCAAGATGAGACTGAAGTTGAAAGAGTTGTATCGCAATTGAGTCAAGAATTCTCTCTAAAAGATTTGGGGGACTTAAACTATTTTATGGGGCTTGAAGTTAGCGTACTAATCTCATTTTACGACAAAAAAAGTTTATTCTTGAGTTATTAGAACGAACCAACATGCGTGATGCTCATCCAGTTCCAACATCGATGGTCGTTTCTCTGAAGCTTAGCAAAGATGGAGGGAACCCATTACAAGATGTTCAATTATATAGGAGAGTTGTTGGAGTTATTCTATATTTAAATCACACGTGACCCGACATTGCATCTAGTGTCAACAGTGTCACTCAATACATGCATGTGCCTTGCACTCAACACTGGGTGGCCGTGAAATGCATCTTGCGTTACTTGTGTGGGACACTTGATTATGGTTTAGTATTTTGCAAGGCTGGATTGGGCTTACACTTGGAAGCTTTTGCGGATGTCGATTGGGCAAGCAATGCCGATGATCGTCGTACGATATCCGGATTTTGTGTCTTTCTTGGAGATAATCTCGTGTCTTCGGGTTCCTAGCCTCAACGGTTGGTCTCTCAGTCGACTATTGAGGCTGAATACCGTGCGTTGGCTGATTTTGTGGCCAATGTTATTTGGATTCAAGCCTTGTTAACAGATATGGGGATTTCATCCTCATGCACTCACATCATTTGGAGTGATAATACAAGTGCGATAGCGATGAGTGCCAATCCTATTCTGCATTCTCGGTCGAAACATGTTAAATTAGAGCTTCATTTCATGGGAGAAGGTTGCCTCTGATAGTGTCTGTGTCAATTATAGTCCCGCTCAACATAAAAAGCTGATGGATTCACTAAGCCTTTGTCTCGAACTATTTTTCTGTGTTTTGCTGCAATCTCAATTCTATTGTGAAGTTCTGGAGTCCATAGACAGTAGGAGAATGTTAACTATTACGTGAATAACAAATAAGTTGTTATTTGATTTTTAGAGATAGTAGGCCAGCAAGGCAAGTCTGGTATAATCGAATGGAATGTTCTAGCAGGTTTTTGTAAAAGCCATATATACGTGGCTCTTGGAAAATGAAAAGATAAGGCATTTGTGCTGATCAAAATTCAATAGAGATAAGCTATGGTGGTGAATTGAAGCAAATAGTCACAGAATCGGGAGACGGTGGGGAAGAAATATCATCGAGCATCAGTTCTAATTCTTTGTGCTTCCCAAAATTACGACAAGTCTTGGAAAATGAAAAGATAAGGCATTTGTGCTGATCAAAATTCAATAGAGAAGCTATGGTGGTGAATTGAAGCAAATAGTCACAGAATCGGGAGACGGTGGGGAAGAAATATCATCGAGCATCAGTTCTAATTCTTTGTGCTTCCAAAATTACGACAAGTCCACATAAAAGAATGCGATGATTTGGAGTATATTTTCCAATGTTGATGGCACCACAAGGGCTTCTGCAACTCGAAAATCTTTGTGTGCATGATTGCCGTCCATTAAAACAACTGGTCAGACGATAGAGGAAGGATAGAAAAGGCAACCGTGCTTCAACAACTGCAGTTTTCAAAACCTTTGACGTAGTTTCGGTCTGTTAAGCGATTAATTTGTTCATTATAAGTTGAGGACGTTCGCTTCAAGTACTTTCTTTGTCTCCTTTTCTAGTTACAATACTTAATTTGTGCCTGGTTTAGTTAATTATGAGATAACTACAAACAGGATGTTCGGTTATCAGCCTTCAAGGCATCCTTTAGCAGTCAAAAAACATCTTCGAATCTGTGGAACAACTGAGGATCATAATCTGGTTTCAGGAGTAAACTAATAAGGACTAAATGGATTAATTTCCCTTCGACTTGAGAGTGCGTGGATCTTGAATGCTTGGTCGATACCACCTTCTGTGTTCACTCATTTGGAGATATTATTGATAATACATAGCCATGGTTTGGAAACCTTATGCTAGGGTCAGCCTCCACAAGGTTTCTTGAAAAACTTAAAGGAATTGGTTGTTAGTGTCGGAACTGTCCTTAAGCTTTTTGGGCTATGGTGGGATAATCCAATTTAATTTTAGAAAATGTCGGGTTTTAAAATAAAACAATAAATATTTTCGGAGTCGCCATCGACTTTTGGGTTTGATATGTCGAATACCTAAAAATACATTTTAAAAGATAAAAAAATGATATACTTAACCAGAAATTCATTTTGAAAAGAGTTTGGGAGTTGATTACGTGGGGAAGAATTAACATTCCCACAACACCTGAAATTGGTACCTAATCGATTATATGTCATTTGAATGTTGAAATTGACAAATTTGAATATACATTCAAATTATGATTTTTTTAATAAATTAAAAATGTATATTATTTTGTACGAACAATCCTCGAAAATACCTTCCTAGTTAGTTAAGGGGGTATTTTTACGGATTCCTCTTTCAAAATAATACTTCCTTAGAGTTTTTTTGATTCAACGAATATATAAAATAGATAAAAATACAAAAGGATAAAAATCACTTAAAAATAAAAGATATATTTTATTCAGAATTCCTAGAGACACACTACTTGTAAGTTAAGGGACGTTTCCATAAATTCCTTGTATAAAGTAATATTTGAAAATATTTTCAACTAGCAAGAATTTTACAAACATGTAAATTACGGATTAAAATAATAAATACGATAACTTTAGGGAAATTAAGGCACTATTACAAATTAATTAAATAACAAAGCATATAATACAAGAACCAAATATTGCAAGTACCAACACTGTAATAAACCCATACGTTTGGGACCAAAATAAACTGATTCAATATTACATGTCAAAAATTGAAGCAATCAGAAATGTATAGCTCATGGTGACCAAAATGTAACATGCACTGAACATAAGGCAAAATCAAAAACTTTCATAACATATAACCATGGATTAAAATTACAACTTTACAAATTTGAAGGCCCATCCGAGTAATTTTCCCAAATAATATCAGCTATACATACTGTGACTAAAACATAAAGATAACAAAATACATAAGTTAAAACATAAAAATAAAAACCCACACTCAGTGACCAAATTAAAATTCACAAAACCCAAAAGGACCCCCTTGTGATTTACCCATGCACTAAACTAATGCAAGGCTAACCCCTCAAAACGACAGCGTTCTGGCTTCGGTATATACCCAAGCCATGGCCGAAAACACCCCACCCCTTCATTTTTCTCTTCTTCTTCTCTCTCTAAAAGAGAGAACTCTCTTGCCTCTCTCTTCATTCTCTCGTCGGGGGAAGGCCGACAGCCTCCGACCATCGTTTGTCGGAGTCCTCCACCACCGTACACGATGGCCTGTGTCTAAAAAACCACCCTAAAATGAACCTCATTCCTTTAAAACCAACCCTATTATCCTAGATCTAAAAGAAATAAAGGTTACCTTAAGTTTTTTAAAGGTTTTCCTTCTCTTTCTAGTGCTGAACAAAGGATTCGGGTTCGGTGGTAAGTTTCCTTTTCCTCTCTCTCTTTTCTTTTTCGAAATTATTTTTCTATTTGTTTGTTTGTTGTTGTTGCTCTTTTTTTTCCCGAAACTACCTAAAAATAATATATATGGTTGCTTTCCTTTCTGTCTCTTGCATGTGTTACTTCCGAGAGGATTTGGATGTGATTGCCTAAGGATTTCTTTTGATTTGTTCCCCTTTTTTATTTGGGGTTTTTTTACTTAATTTGCTTGATTGACTTTGGTGCAGGGGGCCGACTGAAATGTCTTTGGAAGAAGCGACAATGGCGAGAGCAGCAGGAGGCGACGACGACGACAGTACTGACTCCCTAGGGTTAGGGGTTTCAGAAACCCTTGGGTGCTATTAGGTTGGGTCGGTTGTAATTGGGTCAGATCCTCTTGGGTCCTTGGTGGGTGTCGAATCCAACAAATAATAATACTTGCTTTTTAGAAATATAAATTGTAGTAGTGATAAGCAAGGTCGAATCCACAGGGATTGGGTAGACTTATTTTAATGAAAATTAAAGCAAGGAAAAAGGGGTTTTTGAAATTGAGAAAAATAAAGAAAAAAAGCAATTATAATAAACTAAGAATTTAGAGAAATTAATATTAAGGAAATATCCAACTAAAGGTATAATTTCAGAATTGATTTAGAGAATTGATCATAGATGCAATGATAAAATCTTCTACTTTTCACTAAATTGGTTATGGTTATTGAGAAGCTCTAACAACCTATCTCTCCTTAGTTTATCGATAATCAAGAGAAGCTCTTTGATTATTTCCCTAGTTAATGAACAACCCTAGACAAGCTCTTAAGATTAATCCACCAACATCATTAATCACTAGAGGGACCACCAATTCTAGACAACAAATACGCAAGCTCGATTCATTTAGACTAGGTTATACCTTATAACATAATCATAATCAACCATGTTACTTTACCACTAATATTAAAACATTTAAACAATTACGGATTTAAAGTTCTAAATGGCAATTTATTAACCTGATAATGAACAACGAATCCTTTGCACAATCAATCAAGACAATAATTCTTAATAAAAACAGAAGATATATAAATAGTAAAGAAGTAAAGAACAATGAAAATTATTTAGATCTCACAATCCTTTAAGAACCAAAACTTCAATTATCTTTCAGTTGGAACAAAAGTATTTAGCTACTCATAATTGAAAGAAAACTAAAAGAAAATAAAGATGAAAACTTAATGTAAAACTTGATGTAAAAACTAATGCCTCCTATGAAGCCCTAGCTCCCCTTTTATAAGGATTTTCCTACTCTAGATAAAGAAGTTTCCCTTAAAGAAAATCCCACAAAAATAGGAGTTTTAAATGCCCTTATCTTTTCTAAGATAAGAATAATTCAAAAGAGCCTTCCAGCCGTCATTAAACTCTTTTTCCTTTGTAAACTCGTAACCCTAATTTAGGGTTATACGGACTGGTAAGGCGCACCACGCCTTAACTGTAGACTTCTTCTACGGTAGTTCAAGATGAATAAGCCGTGCCCATGCCTTATGCGAAAACCTCTTCTGGTCTTGCCAACTTCTTGAATTCTGATTTTTCCTCCTTAATTTGGGGATTTTGTGAAGATCATGCTAATCATTAGATTTTGAACTTGTTTTGTCCAAACCTTCAACCTAATCCAAAAATACGAAATATAATCAAAATCCATGATTTAATCAATTTTAGCTATTCAAATATGAGGAAAATATCATAGAATATATGTCTAATTTGCGTATTATCAAATTCCCCCACACTTAAACCAATTCTTGTCCTCAAGCATACAATAGTTCAAATTCATAACTCTTCTCAACAATAATCCTTCTTCTTCCTTTGCTCATCCCTCCATAATCAAAATTGTCATGCCTTAAAGACTAAATCTAAACACAAATAAGGAACGAACAATTCGTAGAAGAAATTCTCATAAACAAACATACATGAATAATCACTCTATCAATCTTTTGAAATCAAAATGCAGTGGGATCTAATACCCTCACATTGGATTCACTCAATACGCTCGAAGTGTTTAGGGGTGTCAACAAACTCTCAAGCCAAAACATAGAAAATTTTTACCATAGGCTTGCTAACCTATCACATCCCCACCACTAGTCAATGAATTGAATGCATAAAACCTAAGGTCTTAAATAGGGTGTAATGGGGCTTAGGTGAGGTTGGTAGGAAAGGAATTTGAGCTGTTTATCGAATGAGTTATACGAACTTATCCACATGGAACTCAATCTTCAAATGTTCTCTTCAAGCCATATGAAGAGATTGTAACTTGAATTAATTTATTCCAACATTTTCTGCTCTTCTCAAGATGATTTGAATTCTCATATGAAAAGATCATACAATCCTCTAATTCAAGGTTCAAAAGAGGGAAAATTAACAAAAAAGGATTTGATTTGCTTGTACCATAGTTAATTTCAAACAAAAAAGGATGATAATCAGGGTAGGCTCTTTACGAAAGCTAAAAGTGGTTTCACCTAAATGCCCTTATTGTTCTTGATGCATCCAATTCTAAAATGTGGTCTTTGACATGTATAGCAAAGAAAGTTCTAGAAAAATTAACTATGTATGGAAATCACTCAATCAAGAAATAAGGCATGCTGAAAATGAGTGCTCATTGGCTCAAAAACTCACAAAAAGAGTAAACATGTATTAACTCCCACACATTTTTCATTCAATCAGTCATCAATAGTAATCAACCAGTGTGTAGTAAATAAGAATTCAACTACTCAAGCTAATTCCCTATTATGCTTCAACTTAATTCGATAATTCACAACAATCCAAATCATGTAAGAACAAACATCGAAAGAATCTAGAATTTCGAAGAGAAAAATCACAAACAAGAACTAAAGCATACTTAGCTTTTTCAAAAAAAAAATTGAAGCAAAATTATGTTCAAAGCAAAACCATGTATGAAATACTCTGCCCCACACTTAATACATACATTGTCCTCAATGGATCAAAAGTAAATGCTCAAAAACCATAAAGAATAAGAGTAGGGAAAATCCTCTGAAAATATTGAGCATCAACCACGATATCTGTCACGAGATGGGAGTAAAGGCGCTGTGCGTCGGCTGAGTTGATTCTCGTACTGAACGGAGATGTGGGTATGGTAGAGTAGAGAGGACGGCTGGTGGCGCACATTCTTCTAAAGGAGCATAAGAAAATAAAGAAAATATGAGGCACATTTATATTTGAATCTTGTTTCTTGAACCAGAAGTGGTGTTGAGTTTAGACGTGGACACGTCTTATACAAAACATCTTCTGGATAGTGAGAGACTTTAGAATAATTCTATTTTTGTAAGGCGTGCCCACGAGTTACAAAAATTCCTCTTTTGACCTAAAGAGGAAAACAAGATAAATTGTACTCCGAAAAATCAAGGAAAAATAAAATAAAATAAAATAAAAAGAACGAAAATAGAAATTGAAAAAAAGAAAATTGGGTCGTCTCCCAAGAGCGCCTTTCTTTAACGTCTTTGGCTAGGCGTTTAGCTTCTCAATCATACTAAGTTGGGTACTCCAAAATGGTTTGACCAACGGTATGCACCAGAGAACCTTCATAAAAACATTTGAAACGATGATCTTCGACCTTAAATATTTGACCTGTATCCAAACTTTGTATTTCATCAATAGAGAAATTTTTTCTCCATCCAATATCTTCCTTGTACTCTCTAAGCATTCGAATCAACTTTTCTTCTTCTAAGTGAGAGAGTTTGTTGGGAATGATCACCGGAATAGTTTCTTCTCCTCCTAAATATACATGCTTCAGATGATTTGGTAAAGGCTTCGTTTCCAATTTTGGTGCCTGCACAAGAGAAGGAAGAAGCTTGGTGTGAGAAAGAGGTGACTCAATATAAGATACATTATACCTCATGAGTTTGAGTGATTCTAGTTCTTGGATTGCATCTTGCAAATCAAGATCCATCACAGACTTTTTCATGATTCCCTGCAATCCTTCAGAAGTGAAATTCATGTTGAGTGTATATTTTAACTTGTCATCTTCATTTTGATCAAACGTTTTCTGTGCTAGAGGGTCAATAACATCCATGACAAAAACAGAGGACACATTACTAGGACATCTCATGGTATCATAAATATTGAATTTAATAATTTCACCATCAAATTCCATGGTAAATGTACCATCATTTACATCAATTTTTGTCCTAGCTGTTTTCAAAAATGGTATTCCTAACAAAATTGATGTTGATTTAGAATAATAATCTTTTTGCATATCAAGCACATAAAAATCTGCAGGAAAAACCAATTCATTAACTTGCACCAAAACATCCTCTAAAACTCCCTCAGGATATATTAGATCTATGAGCAAGTTGAAGAATCACTCTTGTTTCTTTCAAAGGACCAACATTCAGAGATGAGTAAATAGAAAGAGACATGATATTTATTGAGGCTTCTAGATCTAACATTGCTCTCTCAATCCTAACATTACCGAGTTTACAAAGGATAGTAAACATACCTGGATCTTTGCACTAGGGGGGTAGTTTGTTCTGGAGGACAGCTGAAACATTCTCCCCTATACTTACCTTTTCATTACCCTTGAGCTTTCTCTTGTTGGTGCATAATTCTTTAAGAACTTTTTCATATCGAGGTACTTGTTTAATTGCATCTAGTAAAGGAATATTTACCTCGATCTTGCGAAATGTCTCAAGAATTTCTTTATCTTCTTCTTCTTTCTTGGACTTAGCGAATCTAGAGGGAAAAGGAGGATCTATGGCAAATTCTTTCAGTTTTTTGCTTTTGAGTCCTTTAGGTTGGTCATTCTCTTATGCTTCTTTCTTGGACTTAGCGAATCTAGAGGGAAAAGGAGGATCTATGGCAAATTCCTTCAGTTTTTCACTTTTGAGTCCTTTAGGTTGGTCTTTCTGAGTCTGAGGAGCAACAACTTCCTTTTCAGTTTCTTCCTCTAAGGCTCTCCCATGTGCCAATGGACTAAGTTCCTTCAACTCCTTTCCAATTCTTAACGTGATTGCACTAACGTTTTGTTTTGGATTAACAATGGTTTGTGAAGGTAACTTACCTTGGGATTCTAACCGATTCACGGATGATGCCAATTGACTCACTTGATTCTCCAAATTTTGTATGCTTGTTCTTGTCTCTTGCTGAAATTGTTGTGTATTAGTTGCAAGTGATTTGACAATTTTTTCTAGAGACATACCTGGCTTTGAAGAAGACTGCTCATGTGGAGAACGCTGGAATTACGATAGTCTTGGTCCATAGCTAAGGTTAGAATGATCCCTCCATCATGGATTATAGGTATTTAAGTAAGGATCATATTTCCTTTGTGGAGGATCGGGAAACCTTCCAACTTCATTGGCGTACTCATGAGAATCATCTTGAAGTGTAGGGCACATGTCAGTTGGGTGACCGGTTACATCACATATCCCACAAGTTTTCACTTGCTGCGTTTTTTCTACAACTAGTTGTTGAACAAGAGAGGTGAGATGCGATAATTGATGTTCAATGGAGGACGAACCTACCTCATTCACCCTTCTTGAAGATATATCTTGCCTAAAGCCAAATTATTGTGAATTAGCGACCATGATGGAGATTAATTCCCTAGCTTCATGAGGAGTCTTATTCACTATGGCGCCTCCACTAGCTGCATCCATCATCTTCCTCTCCATGGGTAGAAGTCCCTCATAGAAATATTGGATGAGAAGTTGCTCAGAAATCCCATGTTGAGGGCAGCTTGCACACAGTCGTTTGAATCGTTCCCAATACTCGTGAAGGGTCTCAGTATCTTTTGTTTTGTTCCACATATCTCCTTTCGAATGCCAGCGGCTCTTGAAGCGGGGAAATATTTATCAAGAAATAGCTTCACCATATCGGTCCAAGTAGTTACAGAACCAGGGGGTAAATAGAAAAGCCAATCTTTAGCTCTATCGGTTAGCGAGAACGGAAAAGTGCGTAATTTTATCTGCTCTTCAGTCACTCCTTGCGGTCTCATACTTGAACATAACACATGAAATTCCTTCAAATGCTTATGAGGATCTTCATTCTCAAGTACATGGAAAGTAGGCAACAAATAAATCAAACCAGATTTTTGTTCAAAAGCTACCTCCAAAGTTGGGTAGTCAATGCAGAGCGGTTGTTGATTCTCATTTGGTGCAGCCAATTCTCTTAGAGTTCTTTCTTCGTTGGCCATTGTTCCTTCTACTTCAGAATCGCTGGAAGAATCAACCAAGTTTACTGCAGATTCCGATTCAGGGGATGAAGAATAAGAAGCTTGTTTGTTGCGCAAGTTAGTTTCTTTTCTTAACCTGCGAGCGGTCTTCTCGATTTCAAGATCGTATTGGAGTTCACCTGCACGAGAAGAATGAGGCATCAAAATAAATCTAAATGACACCAATCCCCGACAACGACGCCAAAAATTTGGTGGGTGTCAAATCCAACAAATAATAATACTTGCTTTTTAGAAATATATATTGTAGTAGTGATAAGCAAGGTCGAATCCACAGGGATTGGATAGACTTATTTTAATGAAAATTAAAGCAAGGAAAAAAGGGTTTTTGAAATTGAGAAAAATAAAGAAAAAAAGCAATTATAATAAACTAAGAATTTAGAGAAATTAATATTAAGGAAATATCCAACTAAAGGTATAATTTCAGAATTGATTCAGAGAATTGATCATAGATGCAATGATAAAATCATCTACTTATCACTAAATTGGTTATGGTTATTGAGAAGCTCTAACAACCTGTCTCTCCTTAGTTTCTCGATAATCAAGAGAAGCTCTTTGATTATTTCCCTAGTTAATGAACAACCCTAGACAAGCTCTTAAGATTTAATCCACCAACATCATTAATCACTAGAGGGACCACCAATTCTAGCCAACAAATACGCAAGCTTGATTCATTTAGACTAGGTTGTCAACACACCTTTTCGTCCTACTAGGATTCAAACTCCTAAAAATAGGATAGAATTTTGCTAGAATTCAAACTCCTAAAAATAGGATAGAGTTCTACTATGATTTAAACTCCTAAAGATAGGATCCACAAGCACTATAAATAGCCATTGTAACTCGCTATTGTAACACGATTTACAGACAAAATACAGAGGAAAACACGGAAAATACAAAAGGCAAAACTATTGTAAACGATTCAAAAAGGAAATAAAAGGTAGCATTTTTTTTGATTCGTTATTTCT